AGCGTACCACTCGCGCGGCTGCTGCGGTGAGAGAGGCTCCCGTAGTGGAGAAGTAGTACCCCTAGGCGCAGCACCCCCAGACTCAGCAACACCAGGCTCCGCACTCGCAAGCTCAGCTCCCCCAGGCTCCTCGCGCTCAGGCTCAGCACCCCCACGCTCCGCACGCTCAGGCTCAGCACCCGCAGGCTCAGCACCCCCAGGCTCCGCACGCTCAGGCTCAGCAACCCCAGGCTCCGCACGCAAACGCTCAGCACTCCCAGGCTCCGCACCCGCTGGCTCAGCACCCCCAGCAGCACCTGAGTCACCAGAGACCTCGACTGGGTCTACCTGAGACACACCCGAAGGAGTAGGACCCTGAGGGGGGAGGGGGTCTACCGGGGAGGGACCTGGAGCGAGGAAGAGCGGCGGGGGGGGAGAGGGGCAGTGCGGTAGGGGAAGAGACGGTAAGAGGGGACCGACTCGTCAAACGTGACATCTTGAGAAGGGAAGACACGGCGCGTGGTGGGGTGGTAAAACTGCCAGCCAGACGCGTAAGGGGGAAAGCCAAGGAAGACATAGGGAACAGCGCGGGAGGAGAGCTTGTCCGCGGAAGCATCGCGAACAAAGGCACGACATCCCCAGACCCGAAACACCGACGCATTGCCAACCTCCCCTGTCCAACGCAGTGTGGGCGAGGTCTCCGGCAAGGAGACACGGGGCCAGGGGTTGAGCTGATGCGCAGCGTACTGGACTGCAAATGGCCACAGAAAATGGGGGGCAGCCGCATGGATCATGGAGGTACGAACGACCTCCATGACTAAGCCAATGCGGCGCTCAGCAACCCCATTTTGCTGCGGAGAGGCCGGAAGCGTGAACGTCTGGCGGATGCCCTCCCCACGACAAAAGTCCCGCAAGAGGTCGGAGGCAAACTCACCACCTCTGTCAGAGTGCAGACGCAGGACAGGAAACTCCGAGTGGAACCGCTCGCGAAGCTGGAGACGGACAGTGCAGATTCAAGGGATCAAGACATCAGGGACCTCCCCCTTGCGGCGCAAGGGGAAGACCGTGGTGTAACGCGAGTAGTCGTGAACAACCAGCAGAAAGTATCGCTCGCGGCCCTGTCCACGGACGCAGGCTAGGCCCCACACGTCCATATGAAGAGTCTGCAAGGGAGCCTCTGTTTGGGGGAAACGAGGAGGATTGAGGAGCGGCGCGCTGCCGCCCCTCGATGCAAGGAAGACAGAGCGGGGCAGACGAGCGTGGGAGGGCAGGCAGAGACCTGGGTAGACTAGAGACATGGTAGCGGGAGTGCATGCCACAGAGGCGTAGCAGGGAGGGGTAACCAAGGCGGTGGTGTCAAAGGAGAGTCTGGTGCGACAGGGCGCGACACGAGCAGGGGGCCGCAAGCTGACCTGACGCGGACGCAGACGCAGCTACATGGGGAGGCTCAGTATTCAGTGTGTATAGACTCGACCCAGGCCGACGGGTGAACGTGGCCAGGTGACAGCCCGTCCGTGTACACGTGCACATCGACACACGCTGACCCCCATGAGTAAAGGAATCAACCATCGCATCCTGGAGGGCAGCGGTACTCACCAAGTCTGTAGAGAACGAGGGGAGGTGAAGACCTGAGAGTGAGCCGGACGGAACCGCTGGACACGGGAGAACAGTGGTAGAACGAGCAAGAACTGGGCCCCCTGAGGGGTCAGCCAGTCTGACAGCAACAGGTGCAGGGAGTGGTGTGGCTGTGGTACTGTCGCGAAAGAAACAGCGGGAAGCATCTGAGTCAAGCGTGGAAGTGTGCAAGGCCCCAACAGGCGCAGTACCAGAGAGAGCAGACTCACTAGCACCTAGAGCAGCAGTTCCTATACCTGGGTCGGGCGGCACACACAAGTAACATTCACTTTCAGCACTAACAGTCAATGCATACATGGCAGTAAGGATGGCTTCATAGTCTAGCGCAAATACATCGACGCCCTACCTAAGCAGCTCTAGCCAGCGGGGGAGCTCAGCCGCGTCGCCAAACTCTGCACGCCAGGTGTCGCTTAGACAAGAAAAGCAGCGGGACTGTTTGTGGCCAGGTGTCCCGCATGTCTGACCAGCACGATCACCTGTGCGAATGACGTACGGGGAGCGAGCACTACTCAAAGACCCCCCACACTGAGCATACCACTCACGAAGCTGCTGAGGCGTAAGGGTCTCGCGCGGACGCGGCTGCAGCTGCACCAGGCCACCGCCAGAAACTCCCAACCGACTAGCTGCACCGGGACTGCCACTACTGCCGCCGCCACAACACCTACGGGCGCACCACTCACGAAGCTGCTGGAGCGTAAGGGTCTCGCTCGGACGTCGCTGCAGTTGCATCTGGCCACCACCAGAAACTCCCCACCGAACAGCTCCAAAGCGACTGCTACTGAGGCCGCCACCACTCCCACTGCTGCCGCCACCGCCGCCATCACTCCCACCGCTGCCGTGAAGGGAAGTCATGCGACCAGCAGGGCAGCACGCAGGGCAGGAAGGGCGGTGAGGAGGCACTAGGGTAGGTCGGGACAGTGCACGGTCAGAGAAGGGCGGCGCGCGGCCAGAGAAGGGCGGCGCGCGGCCAGAGCAGGGCGGCGCGCGGCCAAAGCAGGGCGGCGCGCGGCCAGAGCAGGGCGGCGCGTGGCCAGAGTAGGGCGGCGCGCGGCCAGAGCAGGGCGGCGTGCATCCAGAGCAGGGCGGCGCGCGGCCAGAGTAGGGCAGTAGTAGGCAGCAGCAGGCAGTAGCTCCTAAGGCAGAAGTACCTAGGGCCGTTTTGTTTTGTTTTTTTTTTTTTTTTTTTTTTTTTTTTTAGGGTTTAGCAGGGCGCTGGCGCAGGGCAGGGCGCTGGCGCAGGGCAAGGTGCTGGCGCAGGGCAAGGCGCTGGCACAGGGCATGGCGCCAGCGCGCGCAGGGCAGGGCGCTGGCGCAGGGCAGGGCGCAGGCGCATGGCAGGGCGCTAGCGCAAGGCAGGGCGCGGGCAAGGCAGGGCGCAGGCGCAGGGCAGGGCGCTGGCGCAGGGCAGGGCGCTAGCGCACGCAGGGCAGGGCGCCAGCGCGCGCAGGGCAGGGCGCCAGCGCGCGCAGGGCAGGGCGCTTGCGCACGGGCTGCAGCAGTGCGTGACGCGAGGGGCAGCAGGGCGCGACGCGCAGGCTGCAGCAAGGCGCGACGTGCGGGCTGCAGTAGGGTGCGACACGCGGGGCAGCAGGGCGCGACGCGCGGGCTGCAGCAGGGCGCGACGCGCGGCCTGCAGCAGGGCGCGACGCGCGGGCTGCAGCAGAGCGCGACGCGCGGGGCAGCAGAGCGCGCTGCGCGGGCTGTAGCAGGGCGCGATGCGCAGGGCAGCAGGGCGCTACGCGCGGGCTGTAGCAGAGCGCGACGCGCGGGGCAGCAGAGCGCGACGCGCGGGCTGCAGCAGGGCACGACGCGGAGGGTAGCAGGGCGTGGGGCAGGGCAGGGCGTGCGCGAGGTAGCGCGACGCTGAGCAGGGCAGGGCGTGCGCGAGGCAGCGCGACGCGGGGCAGGTAAGGGCGTGCGCGGGGCAGCGCGACGCTGAGCAGGGCAGGGCGTGCGCGAGGCAGCGCGACGCGGGGCAGGTCAGGGCGTGCGCGGGGCAGCGCTACGCGGTAACTGCAGTCGGTCACTAGGTAATGGTGGGCCCGAAAAAAAACGGTCCTACGGACCTACTGCTCTGAAACCATGTTAAGAACTAACGAGCAGGAATGAATGAACTAGCAGCAGGACAGGTACAAGTACTAACCCTTATTGGGTTGTACCCCATATGGGCTACCCCACTACAGCCTACACAACATGTAGCATATGAGTTTGACACATTGGCGGGTGCCTGTGTTGGTGCAGGAGCGTTCGTCGCAGATTGCCGGCGGGCGGCGTCAAGTTCCGCCGTGACCGTCGCGACTTCGAGTGCCGAATTTTCAAGTTGGCTCACGAGACGGTCGAGTTGCTCCTGTATCAGTGTCGCGAGAGTGAATTCGGCCATGGCGGGGGTGTCGGGCAAGCTCAGCAAGAGCCTCTATCGTGGCCGTGCGTGCTTACGAGAGAGCACATCGAGTGGCAACGCTTTTTTCGCTAAGAGACGTCTACCCTCCCCCCAAAAATTGAGATAGTGGGGAAGCGAATGTGTGGGTGCGGTCCGCGAAGAGATCGTAGGCTCTGAATACCAAGTGTTACGAGTGCAATTGTGTGAGCAAGTGAGAATTGCATTATCGAAGCAAGAGTACCGGTACAATGAGCGAAGTCATGAGCGAAGAATATATAGTGAAACTAGAGTGGTATCGGTATTGTGTGGGAAATGGGGTGCGCGACGGGCCTAGCGCCGAGGTTGGGAAATGTCGAGGCGGAGGTCCGGAGCACGGGTTACCAACCGAACCGTGAGGTTGGGTCGCGTCGTGAACAGTGGCGGGAACAGTGTCGAGGCGAGTGTCGCGAGTGGTAACGGACTACTGTTGGGTGCTGTTGGCGGGAACAGTGGTGTACGCGCTGAGCAGGGACGTGAAGTAAGGAAAAGGAGTTTTCCTTACAGTCACCCTCTATCTAGTTCCATTGCACCCATAACAATATGAAAGATAGACCAAGTAAAAATTCTTTAGGAAATTGGGTGTTCTAAACCGGTAGATAACGGGTGTGGGCACTAGATCTGCTGGTCTCTGGTCGAGTCCGGTGCTTCACCGCACGCCTCAATGTCTCTGTAATGCTCGCCAACTACCGACTCCAGTCGTGCGCGTGTATCTCGCAGCCCAGGCGTGTGCGCCGTCCGCGTCGATCCTCAACTCACGTCGGGATAGAATTGTTCGCCACCTGAAGCGTCATCCGCGAGCTGTCGTTTCAAGGCGTGACGCTCCTACCCACTGCACCTCCTTCCGCGCGCTTCTCCCCTCCGCGCTCCGCGTCGCTTCACGCCGCAACGTTATCGATCGTCCATCGTCGCTCGTTTTCGCGCCCGCCCGTCGCCGGCCAGCAAGCTTGTTGGAGGCACGCGCGCAAGCATGCAGCCCGAAACGCCGCCGCATCCCTCGGCGCACGGAGATGGGGAGGGGGGGGCGGATGGGGATGGCGGCGCAGCGGCGGCGGCGATGTGGGCCGCGGAGGTGGCGGGCGCGCTGGAGACGGTGCAGCTGGGCCTGGCGGAGATGGCCGACGCGCTGCGCCGCTTGGCAGGTGAGGCGGGCGGACCGGGCAGGCGGGCGGGCGGGGAAGGCGGGCGGGCGAGGCGAGAATGCGAGGCAGAGGGAGGGAAGCACGTGGGAGGAAAGGTGGGAGAGATAGAAAGTGGTGGATGCTTGGGGTCACGGGCACACCCGATGATGCTTGGGGTCAAGGGCCTGATGCTTGGGGTCAAGGGCCTGATGCTTGGGGTCAAGGGCATGATGCTTGGGGTCAAGGGCATGATGCTTGGGGTCAAGGGCATGATGCTTGGGGTCAAGGGCATGATGCTTGGGGTCAAGGGCATGATGCTTGGGGTCAAGGGCATGATGCTTGGGGTCAAGGGCATGATGCTTGGGGTCAAGGGCACACCCGATGCACACCCGATGCACACCCGATGCACACCCGATGCACACCCGATGCACCCGAGGCACCTTCTGATCGTGGTGGCGATAAACCTCGTGCTCCTTTTTCTTGCATGCATTTGTGTTTGAGCGCGTGCATGTGCGTATGAATGCATGCATTTGAGTACATGTTGGTGTGCATGTGTGCGTGCATGTGTGCATGCATGTGGGTGTTGTGTGCATGCATGTGGGTGTGCATGCATGTGGGTGTGCGTGCATGTGGGTGTGCGTGCATGTGGGTGTGCATGCATGTGGGTGTGCATGCATGTGGGTGTGCGTGCATGTGGGTGTGCGTGCATGTGGGTGTGCATGCATGTGGGTGACGTCATCGCCATGGCATGGCAGAAGGAGCGCCCCTAGACGTGCCCTTTGCAGAGCTGCGTTTCCTCGCCTCCATCTCGCCCCACCACCTCGCCTCCATCTCGCCCCACCGCCTCCTCCCGCCCCACGCCATGGCCCCCCTCTCTGCTGCCCCCCCGCCCGCCCACCCGTCTCTCCACGCGCCCGCTGCTGCTGCTGTCACCCTCGCTGCCCCTGCTCCCCCCTCTGCTGCGCCCCCTGCCGCTGCCTCTGCCTCTGTCTCTGCTGCACGTGTTCCTGAGGCACTCCGCTCTCTGCCCACCCGCCCGGCCCCTCCTGCTCCTCCCTCCTTGCCGCGTCCCCATGCCGCTGCACCGTCCTCCACACCTCCTCCTGCAGCCACCCAAGCGCCACCGCGCTCGCCCCTGCCAGCTCTGGATGCCACCTCGCCCGCCCCGCATCCGCCTGCTGCCCCGCCGTCCGTGCCTGCCACTGCTGCTGCCGCTTCTGCTGCAGCTGCTGCTGCTAGTGGCGGGGCTGCTGCTGGTGGTGCTGCTGGTGGTGCTGCAGGGGGTGCTGCAGCGGGTGCTGTATGGGGTGCTGCCAGTGCTGGAGAGCCATCTCTGTCACCACGCCCACTCCATGCCACCTTCCCCACAGCCAACCCCACCCCCACAGCAACGCCCACTCCCCCCTCAGCCCCCTCGGCCCCATCAGAGCGCGCGCGGCGTTCCCCCCGCCTGCAGCAGCGCCTCTTCGCCCCCCGCCCGGCCCCCCCTGCCGCACCCACCACCGCTGCACACCCCACTGGTGCGGGCGGCAGGAGGGCGACGGCGGCAGGGAGGGTGGGGGCGGGCGTGGACCGGGCGGCGATGAGAGAGTGGGTGGAGCGGGAGACGTGGCGCGTGCGGCGGCAGAACCCCCACATGACGCCCGGCGAGGCCCGCCTCGTGGCGCAGGCCCGCTGGCGCCGCGAGAGGCGGCAGCGGCTGCTGCAGGTGGGCCGCGATGGTGGGCAGGCGGGGAGAGGGGCGCGCAGAGCAGAGGCGGAGGCGGAAGATGATGAGGGCAGCGGCAAGATGCGAGCGCGTGCGTGCGAGGGCGGCGCGCGCGATGATGCAGCGAGCCAGGCGTGGGGCGGTCTGGGTGAGCTGGGGGTGCGGGAGGTGAGGGCGGAGGAGTTGGAGGAGCTGGAGGAGGAAGAGGAGGAGGAGGAGGAGGAGGAGGAGGAGGAGGAGGAGGAGGAGGAGGAGGAGGAGGAGGAGGAGGAGGAGGAGGAGGGAATGGAGGGCGAAGGAGTGGGGCAGGGCGAGGAGGAGAGCGACGTGGTGGAGGTGGCCTTGCCCTTGCCTGGGCGGGCGGGGCTGCACCGCTCGCCTGGCAGCAGCGCGGGCGGTGCGGGCGAGGAGGGAGCGCAGGGGGAGGAGGACTCGGAGGGGGAGGAGGAATCGGAGGGGGAGGAGAAATCGGAGGGGGAGGGTGAAGCGGAGGGGGAGGAGGAAGCACAGGGGGAGGAGGAATCGGAGGGGGAGGAGGAAGCACAGGAGGAGGAGGAATCGGAGGGGGAGGAGGAATCGGAGGGGGAGGAGGAAGCACAGGGGGAGGAGGAATCGGAGGGGGAGGAGGAAGCGGAGGGGGAGGAGGAAGCAGAGGAGGAGGAGGAATCGGAGGGGGAGGAGGAAGCACAGGGGGAGGAGGAATCGGAGGGGGAGGAGGAAGAGGAGGAAGAGGAGGAAGCGGAGGGAGAGGAGGAAGCGGAGGGGGAGGAGGAAGAGGAGGGAGAGGAGGAAGCGGAGGGAGAGGAGGAAGCGGAGGGAGAGGAGGAATCGGAGGGGGAGGAGGAAGAGGAGGAAGAGGAGGAAGCGGAGGGAGAGGAGGAAGCGGAGGGGGAGGAGGAAGAGGAGGGAGAGGAGGAAGCGGAGGGAGAGGAGGAAGCGGAGGGAGAGGAGGAAGCGGAGGGAGAGGAGGAAGCGGAGGGAGAGGAGGAAGCGGAGGGGGAGGAGGAAGAGGAGGGAGAGGAGGAAGCGGAGGGAGAGGAGGAAGCGGAGGGAGAGGAGGAAGCGGAGGGAGAGGAGGAAGCGGAGGGGGAGGAGGAAGCGGAGGGAGAGGAGGAAGCGGAGGGGGAAGAAGAAGCGGAGGGGGAGGAGGAAGCGGAAGGGGAGGAGGAAGAGGAGGGAGAGGAGGAAGCGGAGGGAGAGGAGGAAGCGGAGGGGGAGGAGGAAGAGGAGGGAGAGGAGGAAGCGGAGGGGGAGGAGGAAGCGGAGGGAGAGGAGGAAGCGGAGGGAGAGGAGGAAGCGGAGGGGGAGGAGGAAGAGGAGGGAGAGGAGGAAGCGGAGGGGGAGGAGGAAGAGGAGGGAGAGGAGGAAGCGGAGGGAGAGGAGGAAGCGGAGGGAGAGGAGGAAGCGGAGGGAGAGGAGGAAGCGGAGGGAGAGGAGGAAGCGGAGGGAGAGGAGGAAGCGGAGGGAGAGGAGGAAGCGGAGGGAGAGGAGGAAGCGGAGGGGGAGGAGGAAGAGGAGGGAGAGGAGGAAGCGGAGGGAGAGGAGGAAGCGGAGGGAGAGGAGGAAGCGGAGGGAGAGGAGGAAGCGGAGGGAGAGGAGGAAGCGGAGGGAGAGGAGGAAGCGGAGGGAGAGGAGGAAGCGGAGGGAGAGGAGGAAGCGGAGGGAGAGGAGGAAGCGGAGAGAGAGGAGGAAGGTGGCGCGGAGATGGAAGGGATGGGAGCGGGTGGAACGGGTGGAGGAGGGGCAGAGGGTGTGGCGCGGGGAAGGGGGGATGTTGGTGATGTGGGGGTGAGGGAGGTGAGTGAGGTGAGGGAGGAGGACTTGGCGGAAAAGACAGCGGTCGATGGCGGACAGCAGGAGGCGCAGCCGGGGGGGGTAGGGCAGGCGCAGGAGATGCAGGAGGAGATGGAGGAGGAGGTGGAGGAGGAGGTGGAGGCAGAACAGCGCGAGGAGGAAATTGGGAGGATGGAAGTGGAGAGCGAGGGAGTGGGTGGGGAGGAGCGAATGGAGGTGGAGGGGAGGGAGGAGAGCGATGTGGTGGAGGTGGTTGGGGAGGGCGGGACGATGCAAGAGCAGGGCGGTGGGGCGTGCACCTCCGATGGCGTGTGGTGTCTGGAGGGGCAGACGGAGGGGCAGACGGAGGGGCAGACGGAGGGGCAGACGGAGGGGCAGACGGAGGGGCAGACGGAGGGGCAGTCGGAGGGGCAGTCGGAGGGGCAGACGGAGGGGCAGACGGAGGGGCAGACGGAGGGGCAGACGGAGGGGGCGGAGGACGACCAGGGGCAGGGGGAAGGGAAGGGGGATCGGGAGGGGGAAGGGGAAAGGAAAGGGGAGGGGGAAGGGGAGGAGGATGTGGTTGTGGTGGATGACAGCGAGGGGAGTGAAGGCAGCGAGGGGAAGGGAGGGGGGGAGGGAGTTGATGAGACAGACGCAGGCGGCGAGAAGAATGGAGAGGGCAGCGTGGGAGGCGCTGAAGGGAGGGGTGATGCGGGTGGGCGGGATGAGTCGTGTGTGGCTGGGCAGCGGGCGGAGGTGGGGCAGCGGGCGGAGGTGGGGCGATTGGCAGGGGTGGGGCAGGAGGAGAGGGGACTGGTGGGAGGGGCGATGGGCGGAAAAGAGGGAAATGAGAAGGTTATAGGGAAGGAAGGAGGGGAGGGAGGAGCGGAGGGAGGAGAGATGAGGGTAGAGGAGAGAGGAGAGAGTGGAGGAGAGAGGCCAGGGGAAGAAGGGGAAGAGGGAGGAGTGGAAGAGCGCGAGGAGGGAAGAGGGAAGCCAAGTGTGGAGGAAATGGAGGAAGGGTTTGAAAAGGGAGGAGAAGTAGGAGATGAAGTCACAACGAAGGATGCGGGCGGCGGGCAGGGAAGAGATGGCAGAGGTGCCAGTGGCAGTGGGGGTAGCGGGCATGGCAGGGTTGGTGGCGGCGCAGCAGGTGAGGCAGTGCAGGGCGCAGGTGAGGCAGTGCAGGGCGCAGGTGAGGCAGTGCAGGGCGCAGGTGAGGCAGTGCAGGGCGCAGGTGAGGCAGTGCAGGGCGCAGGTGAGGCAGTGCAGGGCGCAGGTGAGGCAGTGCAGGGCGCAGGTGATGCAGTGCAGGGCGCAGGTGAGGCAGTGCAGGGCGCAGGTGATGCAGTGCAGGGCGCAGGTGACGAGTGGATGGCAGCATGGTCGGGCAGACGTGTGGAGGGCAGGGGCGTGCAGGAGATGGCGGGCGTGGCGAGGGAGGGGGAGCGGGAGAGGGAGAGGGAGAGGGAGAGGGAGAGGGAGACGGAGAGGGAGAGGGAGACGGAGACGGAGACGGAGAGGGAGAGGGAGAGGGAGAGGGAGAGGGAGAGGGAGAAGGAGAGGGAGAGGGAAGGAGAGAGGAAGGTCGGAAGGGAAGGGGCGAGGGAGGAGCAACTACAGGGAGGGAGCGTGCGGGAGGGGGGGGATGCGCAGGGAGAGGGAGGGGAAGGGGGGGAGGCATGTGGGGAAGGAGGGCAGAGTGAGGAGCACATGAATGGGGTGAGTAGGGCTGTTGATGCAAGCAAGCTGGAGGAGGGCGAGGTTGAGGGCGAGGAGGAGGGCGAGGAGGAGGGGGAGGAGGAGGGGGAGGAGGAGGGGGAGGAGGAGGGGGAGGAGGAGGGGGAGGTTGATGGCGAGGAGGAGGGGGAAGTTGAGGGGGGCGCGGACGAGAATGAGGATGGCAGTGGGGCGAGCAGTGGGGAGGCAGCAGCTGGATGGGATGGCGGGCGGCAGGGCGGTGCAGTGGTGGCGCCCCTCAGTGCTGGCGGGGCTGGCAGCGCCGCCTGCAGCGCAGCTCTCAAGGCGCGCAAGAGGAGGCGGCAGAGGCAGTGGCGGAAACGGCAAAGAGAGGAAGCTGCGAGACAAGGGGGAGAGGCAGGAGGGCAGCACCGCGAGGCAAAAGGGGGCGATGTGGGGCCGGGCCAGACGCAGGGTGCAGCGGGGCCCAGCGCGCCATCCACGGTGCCTGTGGGTGGCGGCCGGGCAGTCGCCTTGCCCGTGTGTGCCACGCCCGTGTCCCCCTCGCCCGTGTCCCCCTCGCCCATGTCCCCCTCGCCTGTGTGTCTCACGCGGCGCCAGGAGAGGCGGCGCAGAAAGCGGCAGCGCGTGTTGCTTGGAGGCGCCACTGCGTCGCTCTCCCACCCCTCCCTGTCTGCCGCCCTCTCACTCTGACCTGTGCATCGCCCCCTCTCACTCTGACCTGTGCATCGCCCCCTCTCACTCTGACCTGTGCATCGCCCCCTCTCACTCTGACCTGTGCATCGCCCCCTCTCACTCTGACCTGTGCATCGCCGCCGTCAACCCTGCTGCTGCCTGGCCCCAGAGCTTGTCACTGCCATCGTGTGGCACATGCCTCACTGCCCCGCTGCATGCCTCACTGCCCCGCTGCATGCCTCACTGCCCCGCTGCATACCTCACTGCCCCGCTGCATGCCTCACTGCCCCGCTGCATGCCTCACTGCCCCGCTGCATGCCTCACTGCCCCGCTGCATGCCTCACTGCCCCGCTGCATGCCTCACTGCCCCGCTGCATGCCTCACTGCCCCGCTGCATGCCTCACTGCCCCGCTGCATGCCTCACTGCCCCGCTGCATGCCTCACTGCCCCGCTGCATGCCTCACTGCCCCGCTGCATGCCTCACTGCCCCGCTGCATGCCTCACTGCCCCGCTGCATGCCTCACTGCCCCGCTGCATGCCTCACTGCCCCGCTGCATGCCCCACTGCCCCGCTGCATGCCCCACTGCCCCGCTGCATGCCCCACTGCCCCGCTGCATGCCCCATGTTGGAAACAAGTGATTTAAGCGCTTCTGCTGTGTCGAAACACCAAGTCATAAACGAAGCAAAGCACAACGAAGCATCGGCGAGTCAACCATCGGAGGTTGAAGTAACTGCTGGAGGTTACGCGAAAGTCAAAAGTCAGCGATCTTTGACCTCACAAATACAGCGCGACAGCAAGGACAAACAACTGACTCGTTATTGAGCAGTTGCCCGAGTCGTCACTGTATCGAACCGCAAGAGCAACAGTAAAACAGTTATTAGCTGTATCTCTTCGTATTCCTTGTACCGTATGGCCCCGGATATAGGCGCCGTCCTATTAAAGGCGCCGGCGCTTATATCTGGAGCATGGCGCTTATGGCCGGTCCTCAATTATAAGCCCCCCCCTAGAAAACCTTTACTTATTATAAGCGCACGTGCAATTTTAATCATACTTGCTTAAAACGGTACCGAAATTCATTTTTGCAGCGAGTCAGATTTCAATTTCGCTTCGTTTGACTCGCGAAGACCTGACTCATGACGCGTCCAGTCAGGATGTGCTGGCATGACGTGTCGGGGGGTCGCGACGGGGGGGGGCCGCGACGTGGGGCCGCGACAGAGCCGCGGCGGGCGACGGGGCAGGGCCGGGGCGAGGCACCGCCGCGCGCCACGGGGCGCCCGACGGTCAGAAAACCGCCGCGCGCCACGAGCGCGCGGCGGGAAGAAAAAAGGGCCGCGCGCCATAGGCGCGCGGCAGGCAGGCGCGCGCTCGAGGCGCGCGTTAGGCAGAGTAGTAGCAGCGGAAACAGATGGGCTCACAGGCCAAGAGCGTAACAGCTCTGATACCATGTGAAGATAGGAGCTTAAGCTAAGAAGCCATAGCTAGGTTTTAGGTTATATGAAAGAGAAATAGGAGAAGAAGGTGAGTTTCACTAGCAGCAATGAGGATACATATAGCAAACCCTAGATGGGTTGTACTCGCTATAGAGCACCCCACTACAGGCTAGAGAATAACATTCTGACAGTCTTTGCCTGTGTGTGCATCCAGAATATCGCTTGCGCGAGATTCTGCTTTGTGATGCTAAAACATTTTGATGCGGTTGAAATGGCAAGAAGAAAATGAACAATTTGGTGCTCTAAATATATAATTTCGTATTTGTCATTATATAAGCGCCGGCGCTTATGGCCGTTACTCAATTACAAGCGCCCCCCCTCAAAAAAATGAATTTATTATAAGCGCATATGCGCCTATATCCGGGGTAATACTGTACTCTTATAAAACCTTGTATCTCCTTGTTTTAATCAATCTATCTTGCCCTCACATACTAGCGCAAGGTGGTTCAATACTCATCATTAAAACGCTTCCGCAACTACAACATCCTTACTCTGAGTTTAGCCTTGGAAAGATCCTAAGGGCTTTTTCTCAGCCCAACATGGTATGAGAGCTATCAAGGCAAACTCAACTGCTTACAAGTTACCCACAACATCAAAAGGCACGGCAACGCAAAAGGAGAGAAGCTCCTCTAACGGCTCTTCCGGCACTACTCCTACTCCACCTCCAGCCTCTGGCTTGCAGACAGAGGGAGGCACAACAACAAGACCAGCAGCTGAGTCTACTAAGACTCCCGCGAATCAAGCGACGGGCTTCGACCCAAGCATGATGGAGAAATTCTTCTCCTTCATGTCGTTCTACAAACAACACCAGCAAGCGGCACCTGCGCAGTCAAACATCAGCAACAACAACAACGACGTTACACCCATGAGCCTTGACGGTTCATCCTATGCGCGCGGAAACCAGCAGCAACCCACCTTCGCTCCGTACGAGCCTCAATGTGGCTCCATCAGCTTCATGCCGCGTCAACAACCTTCACCTGAACAAGAAAAGACACTGGACGCACTTCAGGTTCAGTCGCAATTCGCGCACGTTTTGAAACTTCAGACATCAACAGCTTTCGACGGAAAGGACTTCTATACCTGGTCATTCGAATTTGAGCTGATGATGGAAGGCGCGCAGATTCTTGGATTTTTCGACGGGTCCCTGCCATACCCAACACACGGAACGCAATACGACAAGCAGCAGTACACGTATCAGTCTATAATGGCTTACATAATCCTGCTGAGGAATATTACTCCAACCCAGCAGCAGAATATCCGGTCTTATCGAGGATATGGCAACTCCGCCGAGCTCGCGTACAACCATTTGAAGAACCTGTACCAAGCAACAGACAGCGTCAATCAGAGCCGGCTAATGGCACAACTGACAACAGTGGAAATGAAACCCGGCGAAAAGGGGATGGAGTATATCAGCCGCTGTCGCGAACTGCGCGACAAACTTCTCCGATGCGGAGGATCGATATCTGAAGAAGCCTTCGTCATGGTCGTCATCACTGGACTTGGTCCTCATTGGCGCTCCACCCGCGCCATACTCCGAGCTCACGGGAAAATCTCCAAAGCGGCACTATGCGCCAAAATTCACGCCGAACTACAAGACATGGACCTGCACGAGGAACGACACAAGAGAAAGACATCAGTCCCTGAATTCGCATTCCACACCCAACGGCGCTTCAACAACTCCAACCGACAACACAAAAAACAACAGCAGCAGCACGTACCACCGTTCTGCCATCTCTGCAAGACATCTGGACACCCGCGAACACACTGTCCAAGTCTGCGACAGTCAACGACACCACAACGACAACTTCGACCTTCAAGCAGCCAATTTGCATCAACACAAGCGCATCCCACTCCTCAAGCTCAAGGAACGCCGACAACTCAACCTGCACAAGGGACAAGAAACAACGTGAGCTGCATGGCGAGAGTGTCGGACTCCTGCATCACTGAGTCACCTCCGTACTACTCACCAGAAGAACAACTTGACGAAAGCACTCCTCGCCGAGCGACACTGGAGCCAAACCCGACATACGCAGCCATCGCCCAGAGCGAGCCGTCCGGGAAAGACACTTGGTTCTTGGACAGCTGCTGCGGACAATATATGTGTTCTTCGAGTCGCTTCGTTCAACGGGAACATCAACTTCAGCGCGAAGTCATCATCACCGTCGCCAACAATCAGAACCTGCGCACACGACGACAAGACGTAGTACAACTTCAGTCACGGGAGACCAACGTCATACTGCAAATGTCAAAAGTTTTAATAGCGGATGGACTCGGCTACAATCTACTGACAGCAGCAGCAGAGACAACATTGGCAGCAGCAGAGACAACAGCGGCACCAATCGCTGGCCCTTCAACGGCACCAGTCTTCGTCGACGACACTCCTCCGAAACCTGCGCAGCAGCTGACACCCACTCCACGAGAATTCCATAGAAGCGCCAACCTCACCGCCGGTTTTTACTCCAACTCCGACCTGTACAGGCGTTCACCCGGACATCGCGCTGACGAAGACCTTTGGCATAAACGAATGGGACACCCGAGTAACACGACGTTAAACAACACGATACGAGCAGGCATTCTTGATAAAGACTCACTACTTTTACCCGACGGCAGAGAACTTCGACGAGTTCGAGGAACTTGCTTCACCTGCCAGAAGCCAATTTACCGCATCAGCCCTTCGTCTCTCACCACAACCCAAGTGCACCGGCGTACGCACCTTTGGAGAAGGTCTACAGCGATTTACTGTACAATCGCGAGCCCGATCAAGGAGCGTACAACTACGTTATCACCTTCATCGACGCCGCCACACGATACGTCTGGCATCTCAACCTTCCGAGCCGCGACATGGCCTTCGAAGCCTTCGTCGCATGGCTTCCAGTAGCAGAACGAGAATCAGGCGTAAAGCTAAAAAGCTTCCAGTCAGACGGAGCAGGGGAATATATGTCACAACAATTCAAGGACTACCTGGCAGAACGAGGAATCAAGCGCCTCATCTCCCTTCCCTACGCCCATCAAAAGCAGGGTGTAGCAGAAAGGATGAACAGGACCCTTCAGAACACAATGCGCAAGCTGCTACGTGGCATGCGGCTACCCAACCACCAGTGGCCCGAAGCAATGGACCATGCCGTGATGCTGCACAACATGCTCTCGTCATCATCGCTCCCGAACAACGCATCACCGCACCTGCTGTGGACAGGAAAATTGGGCAGCACAAAAATGTTGCGAGTTTTTGGCTGCATGGTACAGTACCGACCCCCAGCTGCAAGCGCCGGTCGATTCTCTCAACGCGCACAGTGGGGACTACACCTGGGCATCGAAAAACATTACAACGCATGGAAGATCTTCGACATCAACACAAAGGAAACAGTGGCAGCACGTGATGTTATCTTCTACGAACGCCTCACCCTTTCAACGTACCTGTACAACTTGGAAACTTCACGAGATGTCACAGGCGGATTTCATGGGGACCGAGCCTTCGCTTCGGCAGCAGATGAAGCTGACTGGGATGAACAGAACGTGGACAGAGCTTCGGAGGAAGCCGGACCTCTCCCCTACTGCTCGGTGGACATCCCGATGGATGACGACAACCCTCGCGAAAGCATCAACGCCGAAGCCTTCTACGACTTCGCCAACAACGGTTACGTTACACCCGCACGAGTCAACACCGACGACGCAGAACACATAGGACCTAATTTCTTACCTGACCCAGAAGCAGGAGACGAAGCAGCCTATCCCGAGGATGCAAATCTTCCCCGCTACACACAGAGTGGACTCCAGATACTTGGACTCGTCACCGCAGTCCACGGCACGGCGCCACCTAAGGAGCCTGCCACAGTTCAGCAGGCTCTGGGGGGGGAACACAAGGAAAAATGGCACGAGGCCATGGACAAGGAGTTGAAGGCGCTGGAAGAACGTAACACCTGGAAAGTCGTACCCATTGGCGTGGCTCGTAACAAAACGGTACTCACCGGAAAATGGGTTTTCCGTGTGAAAACCAAAGCAGACGGCACCATCGACAAATTCAAAGCGCGCTGGGTGGTACGCGGCTTCGACCAAGAACACTGACGGGATTTCACCGAAACATTTGCGCCGGTCAGCCGACACACCTCTCTGCGGATTCTCCTCGCGATAGCCGCCATGAAGAAGAAGAAGTTACGCCAAATCGACGTCGCTAACGCCTTCCTCTACGCACCTGTTGACGCCGAAATCTTCGTCGAGCTACCACATGGCTCCAACGGAGACCCTACCCAAGTCTGCCAACTACTGAAGTCTCTATACGGCATCAAGTAGGCTCCGAGAATGTGGCAGCAATATCTACACGCTCGACTCATCCGCATCGGATTCCGCCAGCTACCGCATGACCAGGGCATGTACCGACTCACGAAGGCCACTGACTACATTCTACTCATCGTCTACGTAGACGATCTGCTCTACATCGGCTCGACCGACGGAATCACGACCTGGTTCAAAGGGGAGCTGCAGCAGGACCTCACGCTCACAGTTTCGTCTACCGTAACACAGTATCTCGGCCTCAACATCCAAGAAGAAGAAAACGCGATCTACCTCGGCGAAATACGCCGACACCATTGCTAAGCGCTTCGGACTCACCCCAACAACTATCTCCACACCATATCGCTACACTGCCGGAAGTCACAAGGAAGCCACTGCTCTACTCAAG